CGCTGCGCGCACTGTTCCCAGACTCAGGGCGAGCGTCGCACGGGCAGAGGCTTTGGTGTTCTGGGGCTCCACCCGTTTTTTCGCCAGCACGCCCTTGCCCTCAAGGCCAGGGGCCCGTTAGAGCCTGCGCCGCCCCCGGTCCCTAGAGCTGCCTGTTGGTGTTTTGGGGCCGCGGCGCGCCCTTTTGCGCGCGCTCTCCGCCTTTTGGTGGTCGCTGTGGTGTGCTTCGAGTCCTTCGTCTGGCCTACCGCTCCTGCTCCCGCTCATGTCTGGGTCGATTTCCGAGGGGCTTGGGACCTGTCCGCTGTCGCTTTGAGCACCTTGGCTCGCTCCGCGTCCGGCGCAGGCTGTTCCGTCACGGTTGTCGGCCCGGCGGGCGTTGCCGCCTGGTCCAACATCTTCCCGGATGTTTGCGCCCTGCGCGCCCGTGACCCGTCTGTTTCTCCGTTGTGCCCGGTCACTTGGGTGAAGTCTTCTCCCGTTGTCGTTTTGGAACACGTCGGGCTCTCGCCGCCTTTCTCCGTTCCTCCTATTAGGCCAGCGACGGCAATGATGGGACTGATGGGGGGGGAGGGTGTGGGGGGGGGGGGGGGGCGAGTGCACTTGAAACCCCCCTTGAAAACGAAAAGGGCAGTCACGACGAAAAAGAATTCGAAGAGGCCGAGGCGCGAACTGCGCCCGGCTTGCAAACGAGGTGTGGGGGCTCTTCCCAGGAGGGTGCAAGACCCCCCCCCTAACTTTCGGAAAGGGGTTCGTTCGGAAGACCCGACAGAGGAGATCAAAGATGCAGAGGGATTGGCAGCCTACCTTGACTGGGCAACCTCCCACCCGTACTGCAGGGAAGCCTTTGCCCAAGGAGCCCGGTTGGGCACGGCGGCAGGACCCTTCGCAGCGAATGGGACGGGAGAAAAGGCCTGGAGCCGACAACTTCCGCGGCCTGCGAGGACCTGACCTCGAGGGCCTGGTTCCTCAGCCCCTCTTGAAGGAAGCAAGGGACGTTGCGGCGCACGGCGTACAAGCCTGTGTTATGAGAGGGTGAATTCTGAAGGGCTACGTCGACGAAGCTGGGGAGCAGATTTGGAAGGACGCCTCCAAGGGGAGAATCTTGCTGACCCTCGAGACTCCCGAGCTCGAAGGGGTCATTTCGGCACCTCTCGCCCGAGTCCCAAGAGGCTCCCGGACCGTACGCTCAGCACGAAGGGCCGCCTCGTCTGGGACGCCCGCCAGGTGAACTCCTACTGCAGGAAGGAAGAACACCCTCCCGCGCTGCAACCTCGACACTCCGAGCTGGCACGGCTTATCCTCTGGTGGGCCACGAGGTTTCCGGGGGTGCCGGTGCGCCTTGCTAAGAAAGACACTGCGGAAGCTTTCAAGTGGATTGCCTTGGGAGGGAGGCTCCGACGTCCGTTTCTTCGCTGCTGACCTCCCAGGCGGGGAATTCGGAGTGGACCGGGACATTACTGCCATCTATCGGATCCTCACGTTTGGATGGAGACGGGCGCCCGGACACTACATGACCTTCGCTTGAGTCATAAAGACGGCTTTTGAGTCGCTTGCCCCGCCCGAGCCCCACGTCAACGATACCACGCCCTTTTTCACCATGATCCTCATGGATGACTCGGTGTTGGTGGAACCGGACGTCGGTCTGAGACCAACCATAGCGGCCGAGACCCTCGAGTCCCTCACTCGGACGGCGCTCGGGGAGAAAACTATCAACGAGGAAAAAGACTGGGAGGAAGGACGTTTTGAGTCATCTAAGATAATCTGGGGTCTACTTCACGACTCCGACCTCCTTACGCGCAGTCTCCCGGAACCGAAGCTGCTGAAAGCAGCCCACCTCCTCAACCTTCCCGACTTCAGCTACGGGCACCGGACCGTAGACCTTTCCCTCGTGCAGGAACTTAGAGGAAATCAGCAATTTTGGCTTTCAGCCATGCCTGTCCTCTCGGGTCTCCTCAGCGCTACGAATGCGCTGCTTGGCCCCCCGGACGAAAACGGCAAGGCCATCCCTCGAGGCTCTACCTCTGTCGCTCGCGAAAGGGCTTGGGTCAGGTTTTGGGAGGCGTTCGAAATTTAACGGTACCTCATTGGGGTTAGGGAAGAATGGTCCACCACCTTCACCCATCCTATGGTGTCGGCTATGAGCTTGCAGGAACTACTCGCTATGCCTAAGTTCCGACGATCGGTGGTGTGCGCCTCTGAAGATGCGACTCTCGATAGGATCGCTGCGGTGGACTGGTCGGCGGGCCAAGCCTTCTCGCTCCCTGTTGAGGTTTTTCGCAGGCCCCTCTTAGACTTTGTTCAACAACCCCTCCTTACCTCACCTGAATCCCGAGAAGGGGCGGAAGAGCTCGCTTTCGAGCCCAGCCCTGACGAGGACCTCATCGTTTCGGTCACTGAGCTTTTGGCCGTTGTCGCCTTAGCAGCGGCTCGCGGCACCGAGTGGAAAGGCCGACTGGTAGCCTATGCCGGAGACAACCAGACTGTAGGAGCGTGGCTAGAAAAAAAACACACCTACCGGGAAGTCTCCTCGTTCCTCCTGCAACTCCTCACCGTCCTGAAAAGTGTTTACAACTTTAGGGTGTACTTCGCCTACATTAGGACCTACCACAACCTCACCGCGGACGCCTTAACCAGGGAAGAGCCTAGCCGGGTCATGAGGTCTAAAGGCCTTCGGAATCTAGGAGGGGTCGAGGGTTTCTTACTCCAGCTTTTAAACCGTGGTTGGCTCAAACGAGCCTTCGTGTGGGGGGCCTAACGCGACGTGGGGCGCACATGTGCGCTTCGCCTTTCGGTCCTTCGCGCGGGGACACCGCTCGCCACAGCCAGGGCGGAGCCCTCTTCGGGGCTCCTTACTTTGAGAGTCGTGGAACTCTACCCCAATTTGGGGCGGTACGCTCGAGCTTTCGTGGCCCTCGGAGCCGAAGACTAAGCCCTCTCACAGACGCATCGCTCCCGGCCTGGGAGCCTTCAGGTGAGAACGAAGAAAGCGAAAGCCCCGACCTTTTGGTTGCCAGCCTTGTGCCGCACACCCTGGCCCCTAAAGAGCTGGTCCGTGGCGTGTTCCGCGCCCGGGCCAAAGCTTTCTGGGTGGACAGCCTTACTCAGGAACCCCTGCAGCGAATGGCGAAACTCCTTCAGGGAGGGGAACAGGGGAACTGGGAGGTTCATCTCCAGCAATGCAGCGGCAGAACGCTGGAAGACCAGCAGTGGTGGCGCCGCTGGGTGCTCTGCGGGGTCAAACAGGGAAGCCTTCGGGACTCAGGAGCACAAGGGAAGCAAGGGACCGGGTTCCTTTCCGCGACCCCGGCCGGCTCTTACAACCCGAGGTGGCTCTCTAAGAGCTGGATCGTCAAAGGCCAAGACCCTCGGGACGACTCCCTCTGGCTGCTACTGGATGGCCGGGAAGGTACGGGTGCGCGGCCTATCGTAGTGCGGACTGCTGGGACGCCCACTCCCTGCTTGCGACTGGGACGAGACCGCCCGAACGGGCCTGAAGGAACCCCCGCTTACGCTGGCGGAGGCGGCTACGGTCTGGGCGGCTACTAAGTTCCTGACCACCCCAGGGTCGGGTTTGCGACCTGTGGAAAGCGTCAAAGTAGGGGTCTGTATACTTGCCAGGGAGCGCTTCTTTGATTGGGTAGACAAGAGGACCCCTCAGGCCGTGGCGCGCTCCGCGCCCGGCCCTAGAAAGGAATCTCAGGAGAGCACGGGAAACCCAACCTCGAACCAGGACACTTTCGGCCCGAGCACCCGGCAGGCAGAGCGGGAGGCGTCAAGCCTCATGGCTTCGTGGACAGACCGGACAGGCTGCAGGCAGGAATCCGACCGCCTTGCTGGCGGCCCTCCCAAAGGGAAAGGAGGTACGGACAGAAGACTGGAGGTCGACAAGGCCCCGACTCTTGAGGCACGAAGCAGGGACGAGGGACATCCCCATTACTGCGGATGGGTGGGTCCTTGTCCGCGACGCCTTGAGGTACCGGCCCCTGTCGCGCTTGGGGGTCGACGAAGAGCAGTTGAGGACGGCCGTCGCCAACAACACGAAGGCCAGGATTTCCTGGTACGACTCCGGCGCGGAGGGCGATCACATAATCGCGGCTTGGTCAGGGCACACCATCCCCGACGTTGCGGGGCCAGGATGGCGAGTGCCGGAGAGCAAGCTTCTCGCAGTGCTCGTCCACGGTACTTACAAGCGCCACCTGGACTCCATCAAAGCAGATGGCCTCCTCAGGACCCGGAGAGACCTGCACTTTCAGGACCTAGCTTGTCACCAAAGGCGCTGGAGGAATGACCTCGAGATAAAGGTCACTATACACCCCCGCGAAGCAGCAAGGAAGGGGTGCACCTTCAGGCGGACAGGAAACGGGCTCTACCTTTCCCACGAAAATGTGCCCGTGAGTTACATCAAGGACTACGCGGCCCTGGGGACGACTTGGTCGGAGGCGTGGACCAGAGGACCGCTGCGGCCAGCACTGGTGACGCTACCGGCCTCTGGCCGCCTCTTTTCAAGACGAAGTCGCCGAAATCGCGACTCGGCTGGCTCAGGTCAGCCTCAATGACCAGGAGTATTTGGTGGTTGACGCGGAGACCTTGGACACCCAAACAGCGGGACGAGAAGAGGTCACGAAGGACCTCGAGGAAGGAAACTGCGAGCTCGCCTCGCACGGTAGGAAAGGGCCAGGGTAGCTCAGGTTGCAGAGGAGGAAGAGGAGTACCGTACCGGGCTTAACCCAGAACTCCAGCGCCTCGAGCGAGTCAACCCGGTCGGACCGAGACAAGGTGAGCCGATACTCACCAGCAACCGTTTGCAGGCCGACATCGAAGCTGGTATCCCCGTTTGGGTTGCTCGGCAGAGGCACAGAGCCCGAGAACGAGCAGCGCGACACCAAGCCGAGCAGGCGAAGGTAGGCCCCCCCCCCGCTCAACAGTGCTGGTTCCGAGCAGAGGAACCCTGACGAAGGGGGGAAGGGACTAGACGAGGACCTCGACGCTGTAGCGAGGCGTGAGCTCCGGGAAATCCGTTCCGCAGCAAGAGGGCGGCTCGCAGTCACTGCGGTGTCAGCCCGAGTCGCAGGCTCGGAAAAAGAGGAGGAGGGAGGAGCGAAAGGCCAAGGCGAAAGCCGGCTCTTCCGCCGGCGCGGCCTCTAGTCTGGCTGCTGTGGTGACCGCCTCCCTTCCTTCTGGTGCCGAAGCCCTTCTTTCTTGGACGGCCCTTCAAGAGTACGCGACGAACAGGTTGACCCTCTTCGCAGGAATAGCGCTTCTCCTCTCCCTGGTGACATTCCTTGCAGCGGACGTCGCGGCGCGTTCCGCGCCCGGCCCCGCGTGCAAGAGAACGGCGGCCCCAAGGTGGTGAGCCGAGCTTTCGCCCTCCTACTCTTCGGGACCCTGGTTCGTTTGGCAGGAAGCGAAGGAAGGGAGCCCCCTCCGGCTGAGGACCATGGGTGGGACTTCTTCTACTTCCTCTTCCTGGCAGGCCTCGCGTCGATAGGAGCGGCCTCTCTAGCGGGCACGGGAGGTGTCTGTGTCCAAGAGTCTCTGACTCTCTGGGAGCCCCAGGTCGTACAGCCGCAGACTCGTCTCCCTCTGTCGACAAGGTGAGTCAGTGGACCTTCTGCTTCAGACAGACTTCCGCCAAGGGTAGGGGTGACCGCTTCGGGGGACTGCTACCACGAATCGGGCTACAGCCACATTAGGGGCCGCAAAGCTCGGGTCTACTGACCGTGCTTGGACTGTCTCGTCCCTCGCCCAACACTCAAGGGGCTAAGGGTGAGCGGTCGACCGGCTCGCCGGCCGGAGCTGGCCAAGGGCCGAAACCAGAGAAAGGGGACGCTGCAGGGTGTGGGGCGAAGGCTCTTCTGGCCGGACGCACCACTCCTGCACAAGTCCTCCCACTCTCTCCTCTGTGGCGATTGTCTTCTTGACCCTCGTTGTGATCGGCCTGGCCCTCTTGCAAAGGGGTGGGACGAATGAGCCCCTCCTCACCTCTAATCGAGGCGAGTTTCTCGCCGGAGCCCGAGAGCTTGAGAAGAATTGGAGCTTCGGTACACTTCGAGGATTCTGGGCCCATTGTCGTACCTATCCGCAGAGGAGCCAGAACCAAGGCTTCGACCCAACCCCCGGTTACGGTCCCGTTCGCAGGGGGCCCAGCAAGGCTCGACAGCTCCACCATGAATACAAAGAACTTCGAGTAGCACACTTGCAAGGTGGGGCAGAGTGGAAGGCCGAGACCCTCCTCCTCTTTCTGGCCCGGCTCGCTGAAACGACGCAAAAGTCGTACCTCTCCCAGTGGAGATGGTGGGAGCTTTTCTGTGCCCGGAGAGGCGTCTCGCCCTGGAGGGGCCCAGCCTACTCCGCGTCGGAGGAGGACCTCTTCGTGTAGTACGTGGTGCACTGTGGGGTCAACTCTGACAAAGCCCCGGGCACCGTCAAGGGTAGGCTCGCCGCGATCCGGGCCTTCCACATCACCAGTGGGCTCCCAGACCCGTTCTCCCAACTCCCCAGGGTCGCCCTGGTGGTAGCAGGACTGAAGAAGAAGTACGGTACAAAGGAACGGCGCCGCGCTGTGACGCCCGCTATGCTGCAGTGGCTTCACTCGCACCTTCACGGAGGAGTTCTTAGCTACGCCGAGGTAACTTTACAGTGGGGAGCCCTCTGCCTGGCTTTCTTCTTCTTGCTACGAGCCTCCGAATATCTTGACACGGGATATCACTCCCCTTTGCGAGGACTAAGGGGAAGGGACTTGCGACTCTCCAGAGGAGGGAAGCCTTGTTCCCTCCGAGACTTTGAAGAGGCGGATGAACTCACTGTGTTCATCAGAGGGTCCAAAACGGACGTCTACAACCGAGGGGAGTACCGAAACCACTACAAGACCGGTCTTTTGCTCTGCCCGGTAACAGCTACGACCCAGCTCTTCAAGTCTTTCCCCCTCCGCTTTGCAGGGGGACCCGAGGAAGACGAGCTACTCTTCAGGGATTTGGAGGGAAAGCCTCTTCCACGGGCTCTGGTCTCGATCCTCATCCGCAAGGCCGCGGAAGCCTTGCAAGAGCCAGAAGGAGCTTTGGGAACCCATAGCTTACGCTTTGGGGGAGCTTCAGCCCTCTGGGCGGCCTTTGGCGACACCGCTCTCGTCAAGCCGTGGGGGCGCTGGACGTCCGAATCTTTCCAGACGTACATCTGGGACGCCCGAGCCACGTCCACAGAGACGTCGCCAAGAAGATGGCCCTTACGGACCTCACTCCGCGCTAGCCGAGGCGCGTGCCCGGCAGCAGCCTCTCGGTTATGCCTGGCCGACCTTCCCTGGCCGTGGCGCGTTTCGCGCCCGGCCACTTTTATGGGAGGGGTGCGAGCCCCAGGACAAACGACCTTTTGAGTGCTTCGCGCGCAAAAAGAGTGAGGGAGCGTAGCGCTGCTGGTGAGTAGGAACTTGTACGTACAGCTTGCGTGCGTTAGGTTCTGTAGGACTATGCTGTGCGCCGTAGTGGAGGCTCAAAGGTAGGGTAGGGCTGTACAGCGTACAGTGCGCACCGCGCTTCCCGCCCACCCACCCCCTGAGCCCCAAGGGCAAACGATCTTTTGAGTGCTTCGCACGCAAAAAGAGTGAGGGAGCGCAGCGCTGCTGGTGAGTAGGAACTCGTTATTATATACTAGAAGCCTTTAATATTCGAAATAGCCTACTTTTGTATTTCGTTCACCAGACTTGATTTATACGATCGGGCGGATGATAAATTTGACCCGTCCCTATGCCCGGGAGAGACAGAGATAGAGAGAGAAAGATAGAGAGAGAGAGAGAGATAGACAGAGCTAGAGAGATACAGATACAGATACAGATACATAGAGAGAGAATCTGTGCGTTGGAGAAGAAGAAGAGAGAGAGAGAGAGAGAGAGAGAGAGAGAGAGATGGAGAGAGAGAAAGAGAGAGATATAGAGATATGGAGGGAGACGGCTAAAGATAGAGAGAGACGGAAGCAGACGGGCAGAGACAGAGATAGAGATAGAGAGAATTAGAGATAGAGACGGCGATATAAACGGAGATAGAGAGAGAGAGAGAGAGAGAGAGAGAGAGAATGAGAGAGAGAGACAGAGAGAGATAAGAGACAGAGATAGAGAGAGATAGAGAGAGATAGAGAGAGACAGAGAGAGACAGAGAGAGATAGAGAGAGACAGAGAGAGACAGAGAGAGAGAGACGAGGAGGGGTAGAGCGGGGGTAGGCAGATGGGCTGGTAGGTAGGCAAGCGGGCGGGCAGCTAAGCGGACGGGCAGATAAGTGGACGGGCAGGCAAGTGGGCAGTCAGGTAGGCAGGCAAGTAGATAGGTAGGAAAGATAGGTAGGCAGAGATAGGCAAAGGCAAGCTAGGTAAGGTAGCTAAGGCAGGCAAGGCAGGTAGGGTAGGTAGGGCAGGTAGGGCAGGTAGGCAGGCAGGTAGGCAGAGCAGGCAAGGCAGACAAGACAAATAAGGCAGGTAAGGCAAACAAGCAGGCAAGGTAGGCAAGGCAGGCAAGGCAGGCAAGGCAGGCAAGGCAGGCAAGGCAGGCAAGGCAGGCAAGGCAGGCAAGGCCGGCAAGGCCGGCAAGGCGGGCAAGGCGGGCATGGCGGGCAAGGCGGGCAAATCGGCAAGGCAGGTAAGACACACAAGACAGGTAGGCAAGGCAGGTAGGTAAGGCAGGCAGATAGACAGATAAGATAGGCAAGGCAGGCAAAGTAGGCAAGGCAGGCA